AATAAACTTAATTAAGCGAAGGTGAAAGACATTGTGGTAATATTTTACTGTTACTTAGTTGATAGGACTATTCTTCATTCGGTCACATTATAATTAGCTACATAAAATTGGACTTATACTGTCCTCTTATTCTCATCTGCTCCCATATCTTGTGCTTTTCATTCTCATTGAAACACGGAATTCAAATTTACCTCGAAATAGCACGTATCATCCAAACCCATGTTTGTCTTGTTAACTAACCCTCTCTTCCTGAATCTGGTCTTTGATTAGCGTTCGCAGTCTGTCGAAGTTTTCTACGCAATTATCAAATAACCCCGGTCATGATTATGCTTGCATGCACGCATTCTCCCCAATTTTGTGTATTAATAAAGTATTATTTGTACAGAATTTTAAACAGCTTGATTTTTGTTTCATTTTGCCCAAATCTTTGACGTCCTAAAGTCATCTGTCAGAGACATATGTCTTGGGACCAACATCTTATGAATTACTTACTTGAATTTATACGTTCGTCATCGGCACACTTCCGTACGTATACATATAAGGTGATTTTGAGGATGATACTGCTTCGTGTTTTCATTCTTATTTGTTAAGCCACTTCTTATTCTGGCATGCTTTCGGGTCAATTGCATATCTTTGAACAACGCCACACAACCTGCGATATATCTCACTGTCAAATTAGATTTATACATGTACACCACAGTTACCTTGTATTCGAGAATGGAAAAATTTGGTCCTTTCAAAATGGATCCTTTTGTTCCAGATTAGGTGCACGAATGACGGTTTTCTCTAAATAAGTATGTGACATTTGGTTCGACTGATAAACAGGCGTTGGTTCGGGCCAACGATGTCTTATGTAAGTGAAAAGGAGTAGCATAATGACATTTTTTTCGAAACATGAAAATGTGCATTAAGGGTACAAAAGATTGTTTACAAAAAAATGTAGAACTCTCAGACACACGTAGAACTGCTTTATTTGAGCAAGACGTATGGGTTTCTTGCTTTTGCTGTTACACCTCCCTTTGCGTCTGAATTTGATGTATCAACCACAAAATGGAATGATTTGACACCAAGATGTGTTGAATTTTAGTACTGTCTGAATAATCTAGTTTTTCATTGAAATAAACCTATTCCAAGTTGTCCGAAAATTCTATGTACCAAGCGCGAATGCTTAATTGTCCATTTATATTTTACACCCTTTAGAAAAACCGTTTTCTGTTAAAAGCTAATTATGATGCCTCTAATTTTTCTCAGAATATAGGAAATCCTGTTTTTAAGAAGAATTTAAAGTGGTTGTTATTTGTTATTTATTTTAAGCTTATGGCTCCTGGATAGTATCTTTTAGGAGTTTCAGCAGTGACTTAATAGCTTGTATAAAAGTTGCTTAGATGCACTTATTTTTCAATGACTATATTTCGATGCATTTGACATGCCCTATGAAAAGAGTACGAAAAGTTGAGAAAGGTAATGCTTTATCTATGATTACAAAAATATGGCATCGTTCAAGGCTAAGCCATTTACCGTTGCGCATCATTAAAAACCTCAACGAGATCGAAATGTCTTTCACTAAAGTACCAATTAATTTTAACAATTTTATAAGTTTAAGTACTTCTTTTACAAACTTTCCTATAATATGAGTTCAAACCTAAGTCTAACATGAGTTGAGTTTAAGTAATTGCAAGGTGATAAAAAAGCACATGTTTCAGGCTGTATATTTTGTGTTTCACCAATAACAAACTTGATGAAATAATATCGTATTTATCTGAGTATACCAATTTGGAAGTGATATTTTCGACAAAAAAATCAATTTTCGTGCTTAGGCACCATCGTGTCTGAGAGATGGATAACTGGTAGTTTTAAAGGTCCATCAGACATTTATAATTTTTGCAAAGTTCCCCACTTTCCGAATGCATAGACATTAATGAAAAGAGATCTTAAAGGGTTGGCAGCAAATTTTTAAAACCCATTTTGTTAAAAATTCTTGCCGTTTCTCATGCGATCCTAAAATTGCTGCTAAAATTATCTAGAAACGCCAATAATTTCTTCACACTACTTCAATATAAGTAAAGTATCAACTTCAGCCTTGTATTTTGACAGATGAAATTAAATATGCGCTGTCGTATTAGTGAAGCTTGATGTCCTTTGATTAGTGTACACGGGATCACTCATAGCACCCAAGCTCAAAAGAGTTATGAAAAAGGTTGAGAAGAGGAAAGAGGAAGAAAAGAAGCAGCATCAGCATTGTATTCTTTTGCTTCAGGACCCCATGCCCCAGTGAGCACGCACAAGGGGCGAGTGCCAATTTCTCTTTTTGGGGCACTACAGACTCTACTCTTCCCCTCATATCTCCCTGTCACTCCTCTTTCCCTACCCCTTGCTCTCCACCCCTTATTCACAATCTTTCGGAGATGTCTTTTGTTTTGAGTACCCTCAGTAGTAACAAAGTGAACTTACTTTTATGCTGCATGGGGTGGAGCACCAACTTATGTCATCCCTTGCTTCTTCCTTCTCCTCCACACAGTTTTAGGACAAAGCTATACAAGCCAATTCATTCAGATTCCTAATTTGAATGCGCTGGAATACATATCACTACTCAGCAAACCTCCACTGCATCTTCCAACACTTTGTTTCAAGAACTATTAACTTGGGATGATGAGTAGTCTAGTAATGTACCAAAAGCTCGAATTAATTATTTCGCAAAAAAAACATTTGGCATCATAGCAACTTCTATTGCATGTCGTGTTTTTCCATATGAGTCTGGTCTGATTAGCCGTGTCTCAATGTAAGTAGTTGCGGAGAAATCAATCCACTCGATTGCTTCTTAATACAACCAATTTTGCAATAGTGCTGCTCACGTGTTTATCTTATTAATAGATCATACCATATTTTCTGGAGAAAATCAAATTCACCTTAGCCTAACACGTTCCACAATAGATGCTTCCAAAATGGACAAAAGCATGCTGTAATGAGTCTGGTTTGATACCTTTTGACAGAGTTAAATCGTAATTTTTGTCCATTACCCGAGCTTTGTAATGTGTCGCCAGCCCCATGTTTTCGCATTGCATCCCGTTTGTAAATAACAACATTCTCACTTCATTTCTTCAGCCGCGTGTCTGAGTCGTCACCTCTCTTCCTTGCCATCATTGTTTATCCACAAGATCTGCCTTTGATATGTCTGATATTCATTGGAAAAAAGGCAAACAAGTTTGGCTAACGTTTAAACAATCGTGGACAATTAGTTTTTGTGTGAGCTTTGATGTGAATGAGCCCACATTTTGCTATAATCTTTGTAAGCATTTTCATAACCGTCTAGTAAGGAAGGGAACTTTGCCTATCAGTTCACTAATTTTTTGCCTTATTTTTGGTGAGTGAAATCCTGCCTTACTAAGGAATATTAATTGTGGGACGTGAAGTATGAACCACTGATTATTTATAAGGTATCTCTGCAAAGCATCTTAAGACCAGATACAATACCACCTCCACTATTTGCTATGTTTAAACATGTATAAGTTAATGGTAATGGAGTCACGGTTCGGTAACTTTCATCAGAATGCCAGAACAGTTGTTACGAGTTGGAACAAAGGGCGATGGTAAAGAGATTAAAACCTATTCATGGAGCCAAATTCTTGTTAATTGTACCAATCTGCATATTCCAGTCCTTTCTGTTCATTTTCCGCTTTTCTGACTCGCCTATGCTTCCACAAACAATCTCCCATTTCATTTCTCTCAGCCATTGCTTGCATGCAGGCACTTTGCATTAAGAGCCAAAACGTGCTTCCAATAATTCATGTTAAAGCTATTCCAGAAATATTTAACGAAGCCAAACTGGCGGCTTCTCAAAGTACTGAATAATTTATTTCCGATATTTAGAAATAATTTTGGCTTCCCGAACTTTAATTGTTTTGATTCTTTTTATGAATAAGTCACAGCCCACAAATGCACTTCTTGCTTATCTGTATTTTAATCTAAAAAGCCCTATTCGTAATTTTGACTGCCATTCAATTCCAGCACTCCCCCTAGTCAAGACGCTAAGGCAATAATTTTCCTCACCAATAACGGTAAATCAATAGTGTTTCCAGTAACACCGACTGCATAAACACAAAATAAATTCACTAATTGGGACGGGTATTAGTCGCAAAAATGAATAAGTTATTAAGCTGCATAAATAGGTACGATGAATACTTAGGAGGAATTTGTGGCAGAATGTAAAATGTAACAAATTTCTGCACTAAGGATTCGTCATTCCTGATTTCAATCCACTTTCATGAATGCCTTTGGCTTTACTGAGAACGTCACTCGAAAAGTTTAATCCATGGCAGTCATGCCAAATGAACAGAAAGAGGGCCTTGAGAAAGTAGTTCAGTTCTATAAAGGCTTTTCCCATCCCAAACCACAAGGAAATTAAGCAGTCTTTAGATGCACCGTTTTTCAATACATATAACACTATCAAATTGGCAGCACCTCATGCGTTCAAAATTACGCTGTTTATGAAGTGTCACATAAATACCACTGAAAGTAAAATCGCCATGGTAAAGCAAATGATGTGTCGACCAGTGGCGCCTAATTCTCCATCGCCTGTTCTAGCAAACACGTAAACGGTACTCGAAGTACTGCCATCAGAATTTTTAACGCCCTTCATGCGGTCTAAGCAGTTGTACGAAAACTAGAGCTTCGCTAACCACGAATTTCCATACTGCCACCTTGAAGGGAAAACCTTTAACGACCTAAAATGGTGTTTAGCTTACGTCTTTAAATTTCTTTCAATTGATAAACGCGACGTTTCTACTAAAGAACGCGACAATCTCACATGCCAGTGTTGTGTTACAATGCCTTACACGGAACGTTTTATGTAGCCATGCTTTGTTACCAATTACCTCGAAAGTCAAGTAATAATTTAGATGAGAACAAATGCAAAGGAACATGTTATCAGACACAAATGCAAATGAAAGCTATTTAAGGGGTGAATCACGTTTACGAGAGTTAGGATGGGAGTCAGATGCGCATCAGGTCAGTGTGGCAACATCTTCACTGCGTGCCCTCAAAGCTCGCGAGCGGTACCTCATCGAAGTGCGAGGCGTTCGGAGAAGATGCTTCTGGAAGATCCTTTGCGGTCTTTCCGAGGAGCCGGAGCCGTCTCGCCCTGCCTCAGTGGTCTCTGTGAGGAGGAGGCGGTAGAGATTTACCCCAACCAGCATGCAGCACAGCACCACTGGACCGATGAACACGCCCTCTGCCCCAAAGTAGTACAGACCACCGGCAATCGAAAGGCCAGTAAGATATGGGTGACCAGCGCTAAAAGTGGTGTCATTCAAAAGAACACAGGTGTAGTAGTCCTGTAATGAGTGGGCTAAATTCAATCCAGCGCAATACGTTCGCCGTGCCAGGACTGCGGCTATGATCAAGTCACTTGAACCCCTACTTCTCATTTAATACAGGTGAAACTTAATCTAAACAATTTTAAGTCATTTTCTCAATATTTTTTGCCGAAGTAGTGATCAATGATCAAAACTATAAAAACATACACTTTTATGTACATCGAGAAGCTAATAAAAAAATGCTGATGGGAAGATGTACAGAATCTCCATAGATAACCAGGGGAGACGATGAATAAAAAAAGGTTATAGTATAAGAACCATTCCTCTATTCATCCCCTCATTTAGAGGAGATTGATTTAAAGGACTCACATGCAGAAGTTAACATGAAATACGGTTAATTTTCAAAATGGGTACGACATAGAACCTCATCAAATCAACCGCAAGATACTCCACTTCACTGCATTCACAGTAGTTCTAGTAACTCTCAGATCACTCAACTACTGCCAGTTTGGTTGATGAAGAATTAAAATATTTTGTGCCCAAAGCATAGCTCTTAACACTACTTTTAGTACTTTACTGATACCCAGAGTCTATGACGAGTTTCAATCGTTATAAATTTTTCCATGCCATGTGGGTATACTAAGAGATGATTGGACACCAAAGAAAAAGCCTTAGCAACAATAATTAGAGCTGGGGCAGAAATTTAGAGTAGAACTGCAACAATACGATCGAAGGACGAGATGCACGCTAGAACTCTTCTTGACCAGAGAGAGGACCAGTAACTGACCAGGGCCCAGTTGATTGCAAAAAGCCCTCTGTTTTTGAGATCCCAGGCCGAAAAAAAAGCGACTGGGTTAGCGGAATAGGTGGAGTGTACTCTTACATGCTGCACTGAACGACCACCACACGAAATCCGAAAGACTAAACCAGGATGGTATGTTGTGGTTGCTCACAATTGATGAATTCAATAAGAACGATTCAGCTGGGGAAAAAAGGCTATTTATATACATCAAAATGGAACGTAAATATGGGGAACTTGTCCCTTCAGAACTTTTAATAGCTATCGCAACGGAAATGAAGCAATCGCGACATTACTATTCGTGGAACTCGGATAAAATTCCAGCACACGGTCCGTTAATAAGCTCTATAATCATTTTCAAGTCCTTAAGCTGTATAATAAGCGCCGGAATGGTTTCATTTTGCTTTGAAAATTACCTTAACTCTAGGATAACGTGTGTGGATAAGCACCCATCAGTCAGGAAACAGTAATTGAGGCTAGCCGAATCTTGGAGACCTGGCAATGAGCACTTGAATTTTACGGCACTTCAAACACGGTTAAAGTGAAAATTAAATGTCTTCAGTGCTCTTTCTCTCTACGTTTGGTAACCCTTTGACTTCTAAATATTAATACACGTCTCGCTAGAGCGAACTTAGACTGTTTTTCGGGGGGATCACTAAATGACATCACGCCACCAACGTTTTCGGTACGAAGTTGCAGCAAGCCACAACTAAGGATAAACTTTCAGTAATTATACTCGAGCCAAAATCATAAGTGATTTTTTAAAAAAGAAATGAAAGGCAATTAGGGTAAACTCTCGCAGTAATGGAGTCTCTAGGTAAAGTGAAGGCACGCAAAAACGTTTACTTGACCCACTGGGTAGTGCCACTTCTTAAGTTTGAAAAGATAGTTTAATACTATTACGACACGTTCTCGTTTGAAATTTAACTCCAACTCAGAACTTGAGGGTAAAAGCTACTACGGATGTGGCCAGCTCCAAGTCGTGCATCATAATTTCATTGTGGTGATTGCTCTATTTTGTAGCAATACGTGCCGTGAATGCAAGATTTTTAGTAACAAAAAAATACCAATGATGCATATTATCGGGGCGTGCTTGAAAGCATGATAACATCAATGACCATTGTGAACAATCTCTCTCACATCGGCTAAACAATAGGTAAATAGGAGGGTGACCGATTTAGACGAGAGAAAATCAAAGGCGTTTTCGGCACGCCTGTAAAATTTGGGTGGCTCGTAAAAATCACTGTCAGTATCATCAATTGGTTTGGTTGCAAAAAACTCAAATGTAGCGAAAAATGAGTTGAGCGCTATTAGACGACTCAAGTAGACTGCACAAAAGCACTGTGTATGTCCATGTTCATACTTAGTATCAATTTCTGTTCAAGGCATTGTGCACACAGAATCCCGGAATTGGCCAGTGTAGTTACAATTAATTGCACCATTGGCTAATGTATCTCAAAAAAAGGCAATGGCATTTTTGTACAAAGAAAAAAATCCTCATGTAATTATAAGGTATGAAACAGTGGAATGTCATCAGAAGTGGCAATTTAAGGCCCAAAAATATCGGCAGCAAATGTGGGTTTTAGCCAATGGATCGCAATTAACACACGAGCGTATGCTATTCCAAAATAAGCACAACGTTAAATTGCTAAATGATGCCCAAAAAGTGATGGTGATTGGGAATTTCGACCCAGTTATGTCGAAACCGCGCAGCTGTCCCCACACCCTGCCCTTCCCACACACACACACACACACACGTGCACCAGGCCGCTGCCCGCTGGGGCGCTGTCCGGGCATCGATAGCCGCGGTGAGCCCCCTAGACCCACTTCATGCATGAACAAATCGCGGGAAGATGTTTTGATCCTTTGCTACTTTGTGGAGAGTCTAAGCCGCTCACCATCGTAAATAGCAGAATATACCAATGATAAACGGTAGAAGTGGGATGCTGCATTAGCTTTAAATACACTTTGTGGTTTAGTTGAACGCGCGAAATAGCAGCTGTTGTGCGGTCGCGACTACTACACCCCGTGCAGTGGCCGTGCGAACTTTCTGAAGAGGCAGTTACATCCTGCAATAGGGGTTGAATTCCCAGAGTGATTTTTGATAAGTTGGATTAATGACAATGAACCCCGTTTTAGTTCATTGTATACTAGAATTACATCGGTTGTAATAACATCACAAGTAGACGTTCAGACCAATATATCATTTGATTTATCCTTTGCAAAAAATCAAGTAAATACTTTATTTAAAATCTTTTCTGTATTTCAAAACAAACATCAAACAAAGAAATGGCGTTAAATTTCTTGACTGATTAAAAGCAAGGACATTGTGGTGGTAGCCCAACTAAGTCATGCGGAAGAAAAAAAGGTGTCTATATCACTACCCCTTAGTCGTACTCCGCTGGGGAAGGTGTCTGCATTGAAAATTAAACCGTTCGACAATATGAGGTTTTGATTTCAGGATAAGAGAGAAGTCAGAGGTGACATCTGCCCACCTAGTTAAATGAGTGAATATCCGATTATAAATGGCAGCGAGAGCACACAAAATATGCAATGCGGGGCAAAACAAGGACGTAATGTAAAAATAACAAGAACATGGGCGAATGAAAAACCATTAACCTTGCCGTTCGCACATTACTTTACTACCCTCCTGACTAATAGACTGGCAAGATTGAGAATACGAAAAAAGCGCCTGTCAATAATCGCATGACATGCAGATAATGATGCAGGTATCGCACTCTATGCGGTGCACTGACAATGGGTATCGTATCAAACCCCAGATCAACAATGACAAGTTAGGGCAGTAAGGCATCACCGTCGAAAAGAAAATCACATCCGCTGGATTAACGCTAAAGAAGTTTCGCTGATGTCCAAAGTGATGCATTAGATAGGTATATCACTTATTCTTCAAGGATATTAATATCAGTGCAACGTGGAATAAAGTGATCCACGTTGCTTCAATTCAACCCACTTATATCACCCCTATAAGGATTTTTTGACATCCGGACCTTGTGTATGTGCTGCAAAGTAGTTGAGATACAGTCAGCAAGCACATTGGAGGGCGCAGAAACGATGCATTTCCCCCTCTCCCCTGCCCCACCTTTTCTATTCGCCTTCCCTATATAACCTTATGAGGCATAAGCACCTGCAATCAACGCGGCCTAACGCCATTCCCACGCACGTCACTTCTCGTGCACAGTCCGCATGACCCGAAGGGCAGTCCTAACGCCAATGCGCTACCACCCCCTCCACGCTGTTCCTTCTCACGCTCTCCTCGCCCCTCCTTAGTCGTGTGGTAATGAAAACAGAAGACGTGGATGTGTTCGTGTGTGTAGGTGCATGCATGCATACATGCGCTCTTGCGAGCGCCAGCCAGGAGTGATACAACCAAATAAATCCTAGTCTTTGTGAACCGGAAAACGGAGCGCGGGAAAACAGTACAGGTAGCTAGTAAGCAGATTCCCTATTTTTACAGAACGAAACGACCACAAGCGAGGCGTCATGACGTCTAGGATAAAGAATGAATCGGCCTTTCGCTGTCCGGACCTGTCTTTCTGCATATTTTTCTTAAGACAATCAGGAATGCTAAAAACTTCAGTCTGATACTTATTAGAAAAGCTCCTGCGTGATACCCATAGGAAAAAACGTATCAAAAGCTGAAATTAAGAACGCTTCCTCTGCTGAGTGTAATAAGCCAATTACAAAGGACATCTTTTTAAGACAGGTGATATCGCTGATATTACGTGTGCTAAAATATATCACCTATCGTTTTATCTGCCCTCAGTACTTGACATGAAAAAATCGCAAGAAGACTTGGTACGCAATTAGAACATTTCCTGTTGCTGAACGGCCAAGTCTATGGCTACTTAGGAACCCGCCTTAGCAGCAAACAAAACTGGTGTGTGTGTGAGAGAAAGGGAGAACTTGGGCGCCTAAAGTAGAGCCACGATAAAAGAAGAGAAAGATGGGCTTACAACTATTAAATGACACAATTCGAAACTGCACCACATTAGCTTAGACTGCAAAGATCATGATGACAACAACGAAGGTGGAGAATGAGGAAGAGGAGAAAAAGAAGCAGGAGAGCGTTTTGATACCACCAGTACCACTACCACTGCTTCCGCCGTTGCTAAAGGTAAGGCGCGTTGCGTGCAACGCAGTGATTTTGCTTCAATCAGGGGGCGGAAGGAGGTAGAGGAGAGAAGGGTGGGACAGGAGAGAGGAAGACGAGAGGCCTTAAGAAGTGAAGGAATCAAAATTATTTTACTTAGTGGTCGGTGAGAAAATGGATTCCCAGCCTCTCACCTACTCTTGTTCGCTATTCCTCACCGCGTCTTCACCAATGATAGAGCCTTGCATGACAGTGCATTAATCCGTAGCGAGATGCCTGGTGCTTTTTCATCCCCTGTTAATGGTGGTAGCATACTCACACGCCCACTCACCTGCACACACAGGAACTCCCAAGAAATCCAACTTGTAAACAAAATATCGCCCATTGTCATTAACTCCGATGAGAGGTGGTCCATGCTTTAAAAACGTAGTGTCAATTTTAAACTCCAGACGGATTAACGCTTGGCCAAACCTCCAAAAAAACGAATTTAAAAAAAATGCTTTAACCTCAGGTATTACAATATTAAAAGTTCATCTGATATTTAAAAAGCAATGGAGGTATATTTAAACCATAGCGAGCCTATCATTAACATCCTCAATAACCCCATGCCCTTAATGCAATAAGCCTTATTGTGGAAAAAGGGCAGATTGAGTACCAAAGTAACCACAATAATAAACGGCATGTCATTTCTGTTCACTCAATTAGAAAAACACTAATGAATCATCACTGGGACAACACCAAAAAGTTTGTCAGTCCGTTTACATTTCATCACAGATTAATAAAGGTTTTACAAATAAATCCATCGTACTAGGTTTTATGGCAAACAAAAACTGCTTCAGTTGTCAGAGGAGAATTTGAGATACTGTGGTTTTTTTCTATTCAATGTAATAACGAATATAGTAAAGTGTTGGAAGTGGTAAAACATTCGTTTACTGCTGATTTAAATACAAGGACGTGAAAGCTTTCGTAAAACACCTCCAAAGCATTGGTCAGGTAGCGTTTTAAATCTTTTGTACGATTTAGCAAAAAAATTGTAGAACCTGGTAGAAAACGTTACGCAGATTTAGAATTACGAGGCCCGTAATGCTACAACGTAAGCCAGCTTTCCTGTTTGAGGCGACAGAAGTAATGATTCCAAAGTTGTAATTGCATCAACACGAAAAATGGCATTCTCTTTTAATCCATTATCAAATCGACTTCAAACAGCAAATATACAGACTCGAGAGTTTCAAAAGTACTCATATTTAAGCCGGTAATTTATTTTAAAGCCGATGGCATAAATGTGCATTGCCTGTTTGTATAAAACGAGCAATGCTGATGAACATGAGTATAATCCACTGCATTCGCAGTAGTATCGATCACAAAAATAAACTACTTTGGGATACATTTAAAAGTGATTCATGAGATTCTTTCTGCTAAAAAATCTAGAACAGAAAGTCAGTGTCGGGTTAATGTGCTGGATTTTACGCGCAGACACAGGGTTTTGCAGACGAATTTTATGAAGACTCCATGCTCAATTTGCGAAAAGGATGCTCAGACCTTAGAATCAATCCCGTCTTACGAGATATATTCACCTTTCCATGTCTTTAACTCCAAGTAGAAGGAAATTATTCTCGAAGTAAAGCCATGCAACCAATGCCTAAAAATAACTGTTTCAGCTGTATAGTTCAAAGAAACTTCGAAAAGTTATAACGCATTAAAAGGGTTTTGGGAAAGAAACGGGTAAATTTGCAAGGGCGATCCGCCAACCAATGAATTTCTACTAAAAGGTGCACTTTCAAAAGGAGCTTCCATAGTTGCTCTACGATTATATTTTTACGGCTTGCGAAGTATTCACCCCATGTAATGGGACTTTCCCCGGAAGATTAGCAACCGAGTAAAAAGAAATAAAAGTAAAGCATACAGCACAATAAAAATGTGGACAGTAATGTATTCCCTTCAAAAGGGGGCTAATGGACTTCGCCTTTTTATGCCGGCATGGAGTAATTAGGAACGGAGGTTGCGGAATTCACCATGTTAAATAACAAACGCGTCGAAAAAGCTCTACAAGCTCCCTTTTGCTAATGCGGTAGGACTACATTAGGCCCCAGCAGTTTATATGCACAATATAGCATCATGTATAAAACATCGCATGCGTGGAACAACAAAATCAACACAAAGAAAAGCCATTTTACCTATTTTGCTCAAAAAAACGCAGCGTTAAAATGATATTTCCCCCCATGTTATGAAAACTTAGCATTGGTCAGAAGCAAAAATACATTTAACATAAGTTTGCCTTCATTGAGGGGGCATTCTCTGGTTGTTCCCGATAGTATTACTGGAGATTACCACTTGCCATGCAACACTTTTCATAATAAAAGGAAAATTTATTTAAAAAGTTAAAATTTAATGCGTTATCTGACATGTTCACGGTACAATACCTGCTCATTTGATTAGAGGTACACCGATTGGGTTATCGCAGAGGACCAGGCCCTGTGACGTGGATGCAAGTGTCCACTGCTAACTTACAATCGCACATTCCCCTGGTCTCTTAAGGGGTTTTGGGCCGAGGCCTGAAAGGCTTTTGACTATATTAAAGTACCAGGAGTTATTCAACTAAACGCACGATTCAAGTGATATTGGGTGCAATGAATCTTGTTAAGGCCATTGTAACTTCATCCCACCACAATACACCCATGCTAGTGTCCCTTTCAAATGTTCCAAAGTTACCCCTCAGGATCACAACTTGAATACAATATTCAAGTTGCATGCAATCAAGTTTGCGTTGTTTTCTATTTATTCTCATTAATAATACATGCACTATTATTTGTTTTTAATGACAAATAAAACTTCTCCTTGTGTGGTGAATCTCTCCTGTGATAAAATCTGCCATGCTCTTCGAGTGTCAAGGTTTGATGCATCCAAGGGCCGACAAAGGATACCACTTTCACAATAAGCTGTGAACCGCTACGATGCAAGTGTTAGCACGGACAACACCGAGTCTCCAACAGGAAGACAAAAACTTCAGAACGGATATCTTTACCGGCCCAACTGACTCGGTGCTCCTATGCTTCTGAATGCGCGAGGTGGGAGTCCTGGCACATGCACAAACGGTCTGGGAGAGCAGAGATACCAACGGCCCTAAATTACACACAAAGTCATCTCCATGCGACACTGGCCAATGAGGAGAAAATAGGAGCTGTTAAGTGTAAACTTTTTCAAAAATTCCTAAAACGAAGCCCAAAAAGAGAAAGTTTGAATTTTCACATTGAGATTTCTAGAATCTCCAAATGAAAATTTTTTTTAGGTTTGTGAAAAAGGCCCTAACAAATATACAGCAAAGGGTTCATCCAACTAGCTGAGACAGGTTTTAAAGACTACTGCACGCAGACCTTGCCTGATATTGATTCATTTTGATAAGATTAGCATATTACTTCCAAAAATGGCTTGCCAAAACACCGTTTAAATGAAAGAGAAGCCCCATGAAGGTGGGAGTGAATTTCGTGGCTCTAATGGTAGAGATAATGCACTCAAATACAGCACCAACATCACCACCACCAGCAACGGGAAGCTTTTATAAGTGCTTGTAGTTTTAATTGAGTAAATAGTGCGCGATTAAATTATCCCCATGGCGATCAAAAAGGGCGTACAAAGACAGTGGCTTAATGTTGGGGAGGGAGCAGAAGGAAGAAAACGGTTCAACTATCCATAGAAGACAAACACAAAAAAACTCATGCCCACAACTTCATCATAAAGAAACGCAGGCTCAAGTGTGAAGGAGATTACGGGTGACTGGGCAAATAGCCCACCGGCTTGTGTGTAATTGCAATGTACTTTCTTTATGAAAGAAAATGTGATACATGAAGTTCTAAGCATCGGAGAAACCTAAGATCTTTCGGATAGCCGGTTAACTATTTTTGGATATCATCTATCCTGCAAGGTTTGAATCTACTTTAGCTACCGTAAGAATATCACAAAACCTGTTAAGCAACCTTTTAGTGGTCACTAATACTCCACAGGTTTGCTTTAGAGAGGACCAGAGAAGGAATTTAAGGGAGAGTTTACCCCTTGATTTCGCTGTAAAGCGCAGTATCCAAAAAGGAGTAGGGGAGAAGGTGGAGGAGGAGGAGAAGGAGGGCCAGCCAATAGGAGTCACGCAGGCACCAAAGCTCCACTACGCCTGGCAGCACCACCCAGTAAGTTCCCACCAACGGAATCGCTCCTAGGATTGTGGCAATTACTAAAAAATGGCAAATAATAACATTTTCATAGAGGAACAACGCCAAGGCTTTTCCCATGGAAGCCCTACCAGAACAAATCTGTGGATTGAACAAACTGATTTTAGTACTGCAAAAAGATTCAAATTCAGATAAATAAGTTGGTATTTGCCTGCTTCCGTACCAACAAGAAGTATTTTATCACCAGGGAACAGTGAAGTAATCGTCACTCTACTTGACATGCCAGTGGACAAGGAGAAAATTCTTAATTGTACTTCTTAATCCTGTCCTACTTTTAACTACAAACTTAAATTTTATACGCTGCTGATATAAAAAGACTGATCCTTATGCTGTAAGTGACCTTAAAAGATAGTGGATTTTGCGTCAGATTCCTAAACTGAACGAGGAATTGGCAAAGGAACCGTAAGACTAAGTAGAGTATCTTAAGCGACCTGCGCGTTGGTGTTTTAGTGCACTTGATCGAATCTTAGTGGAAGTAGGTTCCTGAATAGTCATATGTACTCATTCATTCATTTCGTGTAAATCAAATAAATTCCCATCATAAACGTTGAAGCATGTCGGTACACCATGCGCTAATTATTACATGAATCTATTAGACAGATAAAATAATTTTTTGAATTGCTGATATAACGAACTGTAAAAATTCATTAAATATACAAAAATGGACATTAAGAGGACTCGCCCCAGGAATGAAAACTTGAAATAGACAAAAATAACTTGTTGATGAGAATTTGTTTACCTAAATTTGCTCCTAAAGATTTAAAGGAAGATCGAAATGAATTTTGGACGCAAATATTAAATTAGAGTGATCCAGGGTATTTCCGCATCTAGATACTCGGCTTTTGATTATTTGAAGATAAAGCCAACTTATCAGTTGAGAGGCAATCTAATCACTTCATTAATAATACCATATCCACTTCCCACGTGAACGTGTGTGTAGGCGATTGTGATGAATGTCTTAGTTTCGTGCATTACACATCAGATTGACACGACTTTTCGCTCCATCTTATTTTAACCTTCAATCAATCTCAACTAAATGAGATGCATGTGACGGAACTTACTAAAACCCCCTACTGGGTGGATTTCCTAATTACTTCGCTCAATAAGTTACCTGTAACCAAATTAAAGCGTACATTTGTCTACAACAAGTAAACTTTAAAGAGCCAAAATAGTAAATCATCAAACGGAAGTGAAGAATTCAGAGTAGACATGAAATTGGCAAAGGCCAATTCCCGAAACCACGCTTCCTTCGATAATCTAGCGGTTATACGGCAGGAACTTCGCTAGACAAAAAATTAACATTGCGGTGCATCAAGTACAATTCATGCACCTCACTTAATTCATAAAAGCTACCAGCTTAAGTAACAGTGATTTTAAATAAAAACAATCTTCGGTAATCGAAAGTGAAGTGTCCCCGACACCCAAATATGTTCATTCACATCAATTCACGTATGCGATTCTTCAAATATATTTACTTCCGTGTGTGAAGTAAAAAGATCAAAAGATGGACAAGTAGAGTGTAAAACGTGGAATTATTTGCACAAGCATGGTGATGACAAAGGATTTCATTTAAAGTAGTAAATAAGATAGTTATGGGCCAAAAAGCTTAATAAAACGTGGTCAAATGGTCTTAGAGCAACAATACTTCAGTTACCGAAAATCTCGAAAAATCCGTAATGATTTGCATTGGCTTAAAGACTTTTTACAAATAAATGCTGCTAAAATTGACAACCACTCAATTTTTCGGATTTTTTCAAGAGCAGAATGACAAAAATGTGTTTCAGGGCAACAGATTAGCGAAGTGATAACAAGGATTTGAATTTCAGTGTGTCAGTGAGGACGTACTGTTCGCATATCAGCGATAGCGCCATAACACAAAGTGATGCATTTTGAAGCACTGGCCAAGACAAAGTGCTACCAAAACACAGCACAAAATAATAGTAGGTTCAAACAAATGGTAATGCTCGTAATTTTTTCCATTTACTTCTGCAAGTATGTTAAGTGAATGCTGCAAAACAACGTTTCAGTAATTCAAGGCTCCGCATCGAAATATGTATAATCGCCAAAAGCAGAAGGGCATGACCTTTCTTAATATTCACAATCTATTTATGTAATGTGTTGAATATTGATTTAGTTGTGTAATATGATAAATATAACCTATTCCGTTTTGATCACTACGACAGATGTCAATACTTCCGATCATGATATGCACACACATAAGCTCTCACCTCTACTACTCATTTTAAGTTATCCGGCATCGAATCTCGATACCTCGCAACGCTATTCGATGGAGTCGGAAAATATTTGAAGGGACCTATATTGCCCTTTCTGTGGTAGCTCTTTTAATAATAGTACCTTCTATGTTTAGAAAAAAAGCCAGAATAACTCAGATAGCAGACTGAGAAACACGATAGAAGTAGACTGGTTAGAAGAGAGGTGGTAGGAGCCTAAGCACTCACAAACACTTTCAATTCAGGAATTTTATTTTGGAGGAGATAGGCTACAAACAAATTCGTCTTTTGCCAACCCCTTTCAAGTGGGCATCAAAAAGTCGCTTCGGTTAAGAACACACGAGAGACGGCCAATTAAAATCGGTGACATATAAACACATGCTACCCGAGCCGTGCTACGCAGAGTAGGTAGTGACATGCGCCTTATTAGCATTGATAACGGTGAACGCACGTCGCATGTGGGCCAGTCAAGACACCGTTCACCTATATGGTGGGCAAAAGTGTTAGTGCGTGCATGGAAGTTGAAGCGTTATAAATAAAGCTTCTTCTGAATGACTGTACAAAACCCTCGACATCCACCTATATGGAAAGCTTTAAGCACGGTGCGGAGGTGGAGCCTCCGGTGGCCGCAAAATACGTTTCAGAGGCCCCCCTACGTTTGTTGGTTACCATCTCGGCCTTGGTGGTTTCTGCAGAAGTCACTTCTGTTAACAGCTTAGCTCGTGGAATGCCTGCCTGATTCTAGGTAATGGGCGAGTAACCAATTATGAACATCAACGATATTTGTGCTTCTATGAAAAGTTAAAGGTAATTATTCACGACCATTTGCAACCTCGAAGAGATAGTTCACTGCGGGCACTAAAACAGCTCCGCCACATATGACGAAGTGAGGCAGCCTTAAGGTCAAATCTTTCCAGATATTGATTTAGCGTCGAAGTGTAAATGTAGAACTGAGTTGCAAAATAACTGCAGCCTCCATCCCTTGAGCTCCATTATCCTATGTATTCCCAAAAGCCCATGTTTGGCTTGAACGCCCCACACAATAAGGCAGTTAGCTTCACCATCCCCGAAACCCTATGCGATGTAGGTTTATCGCTACGCCTCGCGCATATTTTCAGCACGTCAAGGTGACGTTACAGTGGATCACACTAAAGTGAAATTGCTGAGAACTTGGAGGACTACAGGCCAGAAGTAAATTAGTTCTAAAAGAGGGATAAATGAAGCATACGTCCTCATAGAAAAGAAATAGGTGATGAATGGACACGTACTAGAGGGCAGAACAACAACGTCGAGACCGAAGAGGGTGTGAGTGAGGAGGGTATACATGCCGTAGAAGACGGTGCGTTTAAGCGTGGTCACCACGACGCTAGCGACGGCCGCCTCGACGGAGGCATAAAAAGAGAGCACCGCAGGACTCGCCTCGCATCTCTGAGGCGTCAGCGACACCACAAAGTCTACCGGCAGGTAAGTCCTCTCGCTTACTGCCAGCAGGTAGAAGAGGGTTGAGAGGAATATCAACTACAGAATGCACGTGCAGGCAAAGTGAGAGAACTGCTGCTTTAATGAAAGTCATTGGCATTTTATTAACTCGCGAGTAGATTTCTGTGATTGTGTGTTAGTAAAAAGGCTTGAAGTTGTTACCTGCTGTAAAGTAAACCCATGTACACCGAAACCGTAATGCAAAGACCCACAACTACCATTAAAAGGCCGTTGATGGTATGCTCATCTATAACAGAACTTGAACTCGTTGAAAAAAAGAAAGTACCGCATGATAACTGCTCGCAAATGGCCATACCACTGGCTTAAATTAATGAAGATACATTAGAAGCTAAGTTAATTTGCTAGAAAAGTTTATGGTAGTATGATGTGGAGCATTAAATCGAAAAGGTATAGCTACATATATTTAGGTAATCTTATGAAACCTCAGTGGGTCAGAACAATGGCCAACGAAGCTTCGAATAGAAAAGTTGGAACTAAATTTCATAAGGTAGCAGGTAATGCCACTCTACAACTGTGTAGTGGCCTTTCTTATTCAAAAAATTACGAAAAGTGGTCAATATATTTTGATTTTGATTTTAGAAATGTCTAACAAATGTCATCTTGCAAAGGAATTAATGTAAGGTATTTTAGCCAACATAAAACAGTTCGCAATTAAACAGCAAGTGTCATATTCGCCTTTGAATCAGTTCTAATAAAAATAACCAAGTTAAGGAAACCTAAAGAAGTTCTATTTTACGAGTGTTTTGGGTAATGATCAAATTCCCATGAGGATCCCTCATTCAAATCGCATCACTTTATCTCGGAAGGCGGCTAATAGAGCAAATAAGAAGCAGACGTACGAAAGAGAAGGAGAGGTTGAGAACTACCGATCCGCCAGCGAAGAGGAGGGAGATGGTTCCCATAAGAAGGGAGGTGATGATACTAGCGTGGGAACTTAGGATTCGCCACATCGGGTTCACCACGTTCATGATGATCCCCACATTCTCGTGAAAATACGCCACTATCTGCAAGGCAACCAAGATTATCTGATAAAAATTGTACCCTCGTAATCTTTAGCAGGCAAAAGAGAGATTTCTAAAGTGAACAATGTCAAATCGACATACTCTTGTTTCAAACTGGATTAATTGACCAAGCCAATAACCAAATTTCTTGACTTTTACAAATTAGGAAGTACTAAAAAATTAAAAATCAGACTTAATGGAATCAAAATTCTTGTAAATTCAAATTAAGTTCTAACAGTGTACAATAAGGATAATACCCTTATTTCAGCACATGATCCTCTAGTTTGTTACTGAAAGCAGTAGAAATCTTTAAATTGGTGATACATCAACGCAAGATGGATGGAAGCGCCGAGAAGGCATAGAGTAAGGCGAGTATGGATTAATGGACCACAGGGTAGAACGGAAGAAGAGGAGCTCAATCGATAAAGCATTACAGTTGGGAGGTAGCAGAGCCGCTGTTTTACATTACTTTACTCGATCATACACCCGTCCTGCCTTTCTGTCTTAGAAAAGCGCATAAATTTTGCATCACCCTTTCAGCCCAGGGTGGATGGTGATTGAGGAGGAAGAGGCAGAGAAAAGTAGAGCTGAAGAGAGAACTCATAGTAGTTAAGTCACATCAAAAATCCAAATTCCAAAGCAGAACAAAACGATTAAAGCTAGTGAGTAGCTGCTACCCGTAACAATGATGACCGTGGAGAAGGTTAGCTCTCCTTCACTTCAGTCAAGGTGTGGACAGACAAATACTCAAAAGTAGCAACGAGAAACTGGCGAGAAACATGAAAATACCCATAACTAGGATGGTTTCCTGACAAAAGACAGTCCAGTGCAAAATTTTCTGCTGCCTAATATCGGTTTCCAGCTTCCTTACTTTCAAAAATCAACTATTGGTAGTATTTCATGGCCTACTTATTAAAAAATTCATGTGACTCTGGAAGATCACATTCAGCCTTTGATGAATAACAGGTAGTTGCATAAAAGCAAAGCAGTGGAAATAGAAGCTAGGATTGCGTAGTTTTGTGAGCCAAAAGCGTTTTCAATGAACAAGAGTGGGCCGAATCTCATGCGGTGCCTGAGAAGTACAGCAAGATGTGCCTTAAGGATAATTGAATGTTAGTTTGAAACGTCCAGCAGTGCTGCTGCTATCCATCAACCCTTCATTTTGCGTGAACAAAACGAATTTGGTACCTATAAGAGAAATGCTTTTACCACTGAAAGGTATGTAGAGTGAGTGGATAGACCAAAGTTACCGAATGGGCCGATTAAAGCAGGCTGACTGAAACTGTTATTCAGAAAACGTATTTACATTACAATAAAAATGCCACTGCGTGGATTCAAATGGAGCTACTTTAGATTTTCCGAAACACTAATGGCAGATAGTACTCTGTTGACAGTTTGGTCAGTGGAAAAGAACTTTTGGTGTGCACCACAATGCCAATTTGGGAGAACAGGAGAAATAATCGTGACAAAACACAAGCAACACTTATCCGCCTGCCTAAAGAGGAGATATCACTGCGCGAATCCGAATAACTTGCGGGAAAAGCGTGCTGATATTTGATGCAAAGTACACCAAGTAGATTGCACCAAGACAATGATTCAGTATGCTTCTAAGATTGGAGTACATTGAGAAAAGGAGGGATGAATGAATAATGAAATTAAAGGTTTGATGAAGCGATAAATGGGAACAATTTCAGCATTTAAATGAGCCGCTTGCGATGTCTAAAATTGAGTCAAATATTTCTAAATTGATGAAAAGTCCGGAAAAAATGATAGAGGAATGACAACGTGCCACTGTTTGTCCAGCGTAAGCAGTTCAATGAGAAAAAAGGGAAGAAGAGACAAGGGGAAGAGAGAGAGAATTGAGGTGATGTGTAAATATGGGGCGCTCAATAAGAGAGTAAAACAAAGTGCATAGAGGAGGAAGCCGATTACTGCAAAGGCGCATATTTAAGCTTGAATAAATAATTTCAGTGGTGTGTTTAGAAGAAACGCATGTGTGTATACATGTGCATGCAGGCGTTGTAAATGAGTCCAGGGCATGGTGAATCGGATGAGCGATATCCACAAGAAACGGTTCTGGAAAATTACATACGAGTCTGTGCTTATGTCTTGAGAAAAAGGAGAATGCTAACTGCAAGCAACGGCCCGTTGGACTCACTGAACACTTAATATGGGAGCTGCACAGCATTATCCACCGAGGACAAACTATATTGTCATTGATCCGAAAGAAGTCGAGGATTAAGAAACCAGAACCTACTTTGGTGTCTCGATTTTTAAAATAACGACTGGTTAATAAATCGGGATATATTCAAACGGCGAACTGGGAGCCCACCAAAATTAAGATAACTAAAATGACCTCGACCTGTTTCATGGCCAGAAACCAGCGCCCAGAAAAACAGTTAAAGCACTCCCCAGCAATTTCTTGAACCCAAGATCTTTGGATGAAGCAAAGGTTAAGAAAGGTTAGTAAGATCAAGGAAAATCTCAATACAACTTTTGATATTATTAAGATGAAGATTGACAGAGGATATTCATAAAGAAATAGCTGTGATCAATGGTAGAATTACTAAGTGTCGAAAAGTCAAAAAAATGATAATCAATTAAAAAATTATGATTATATGGAGAAAAATAAAAGTGTTAATATATATATATATATACTGCATGAAAAAACATTCTTATAAGAGCAAAAGATGGTGCGACTTACATCACGATAATCGAAGCCACCAAAAGAATAGACTAAGTCCCGAAGGCGTCTGCGCAAATGGGTGAGAGAAATCGTGCGACTTGCGTTAAGACCACCCGCCAAGTCGTCAGTGAGCACGAAATTCGACTTGACTCCCTGGTGCAACCCTAAATTGTCTGCGTCATCGGACTAAAACAAGATCAAAGTCCCATGTAAGGAAGTTAGATTTTCTTGTGAAAGGGGAATTGGCGGCATCGTACGAACCCCATGGAAGAACTGCATGCAGACCCTCTCCCAGAGTTCTAACAGCTGTTCTTCAATATCACTTTTGTTTGCCAAGTTTCCGCTAAACAATTGATTAACCTAAAAAGTTTAAGACAAATTTAGTGCTGAGATGTGCATTTATGACTTGTAACTCGTGTGTTCGAACCGTCCACGATAATTCCATATGTTGATTTGGCTTACAAAGAAAAACAGATTTACTGATTTTTAAAAGTAGTACGAGGCGCTGAAACACAAAAAGACCTATTGCATCTCTGTTCTCGTAAAAATGGACTGGTGAGGGAATAGACAAAAACCAAAACCTAGAAGGCATCACCATGGGAAATGTTAATCGTAATGAGGGCTTCGATACTTTAGAACTGATGAAGCTTCTGCCAAGTTGGTGAACGTTGCTAACAGCAGATCGAGCGGCCGAACCGAGCTGATCCCTGTCGGGTAACCAACTGCAAAAACAAAGATTTATAGGGTTGACAAACATGAAATTAGACACCAATGTGACCGAACAATTGCTTTTCCTAAACATACAACTTCAGGCTATTTGTAAAATCTTTACGACCGTGACAAGTTAAAATAGAGGTAATAAAATTAACTATTGATGAGGATACTTAAAATAGCACGATACTAATAACAAGTACACTTTCCTGAATTGTGAAAAGCTGAATGCACATTATTGCAAAAAGGGGAGAATACCTTAAAGCGTTACTGTGAATTGTAGAACTAAGAACACTCGAACTCAGTGAAATCAAATGAAGAGTCTCATTGTAGACCTAAACAAGGTGGGGAAAGCAAATAGTAAAATCAATTTTGGCAAATTTCAAGCAATGAAAGGCTAAAACCAAGGTGTCAGCTAAGTATTCTGGAGTCAGGTAAATTTTATTCCCACCTTTTCCCTTTCCCTTGGTACATATGTTCAATTTCCTCTACGCTCCCTCAACTTACTTCATTAGAAAAATGATCAGATCCTCGCGTAGAATGATCTGATTTCCTCACAAATCAAAGTTCAGAGGAACGTTTTACGAATATTTCACGAATTATGCAATGCCAATGTTGCAAAAATAAGCCACTTTTCAACCAATCGAATAAGCCTAGCAATTATTTAACAGTAACTTAAAAAGAAGAATTTCTCATTGATATAGCATCAGCAATCGTAAGTTCGCCCAAATCAGACTTAATAAAGTCGGCAGATAAAAAAGAAGGGATAAGCGTAGTCATTAATCTGCCAAATGCCTTATTTTTCAAAACTCTTGAAGCTGGGCCGTACAAGATTTAGAAGGGCGGAAATAAGATGTGTAATAAAAAATTTACTTAGCTATCCAGAATTGTGGGAAAATATGGTGCAGTGGACACATTAAATTCGTTCAAACCACTTTCATGGGTGTTTGCAGCAGCACTTATCGCCATTGTACGAGAAAATAAAGTTCATTTCATTGTTTTTTTAAGCTTTATACGCAGGGTTAGTTAAAATAGCAGCGAAGATTTATATCGAGAGGCCACCCACCTGAATCACGAGAAAGACGGTGAAGAGGAGACTAATCAGAACCATTAGGCTTACTATAACGAGACTGACCAAGTAATCCAAGTAGTTATCGACAACGTCATAGATCTAAAATGAAAAAAAGATCTTCTTGATAGGGTAGTCACTCTCTTATGGTTTCATCCACCAAAAACACGGACACACACACATGGCGCTCGATTTTGCGAGCCCATCGCAGAGACGCCTTGAGAGAGGCGGGGATTAGGAGAGGAGAGCACTCACTGTTCTCGACCATGACAAAGGAATCAGAGCTACAGAGGGCGACCTTAAGAGAGATCCAAATACGTCGTAGGAGCCAGAGAGCACCTGGAACAAGTTGAAGACTGGCGACGGCGTAGGCCAGGAGACCAATGGAAGTGAAGACGAGGACGAGGCGGAAGAGCCAGGTACGCGTCCAGAAGGCCACCGCGAAGTGCACGAGCCCCAGGCCCGTAAAACAGGCACGCACGAGGGCGTTGGAAGTGTCAGATACCCCGCTGGTCGCAGGGAAGACGTGCCCCTTCCCCCCTGCCATCTGCAAAATTTGTGGAGATGAGAACGATTGCGAGCAGGCGTCCCCCGATTTGCTCTCCGGCAGCAGCGAGAGCCGACGCAGCAACGTTCCCGCCGTCGTGCTGCGTTCAAATAAAACACAGATCACCACTCATTTCAGCAGGACTTCTATGATGGCCAGCGCCAAACGGATGGTGCTATGAGCAACCCACCCGCTTGCCCTCACAACAGATATAGAACGAGCACTTTGTGTGACTGATGATGCCCTCATTCTCGGATCAGAAGAATGATTCCCATTTAAGTGATCCCAAGCTGCTTTCATTCATAAATTTCGGCGACTGCTAAGGAACAACTTGGGAAATATCATCTGTGCCGCCCAACAAAGTCGCACCAATTATGGAATTACCCCTTTTCGTATTTATGGTCAATACATGGGGGACCAAAAGTCATGTACAACCACGGGGAGCACACATAACAGAATAAAAACAAGTTAGGAATAATTGCAGTGTTTTCAGACGAGTGGAAGGATGAGAAATATTCGAGAGCATATAGTAATAGCTTTTCACGAAGACAAGGTACTGGTTTTTCCTGTATATTGGTATGCATGAGTGTGCCCTATAGATGGTACAGGATAGATTGATTTACTTATGCATTAATTCACCATGCTCATATTTCTCGTGCATAATATCGCCATTAGGCCCGACGTAGGTTCGGTTTCAATCGTATGCCTTAAAATATACATAATGAAAAAGTTTAGGAATTGCGCCGGCTACGACCACAATTGCAATAGCTTTCCGAAGCTAAATCCCACATTTGCCCCTAAGAGCTCATCACACTTTAATAAACTTGTGGGCTCAATCGAAAAAAACCCAAAAACTAGTAAAAGCTACTGATAGGAACTTGGCCATGAAACGAAATTAACATGAATAGATAAATAACACTAAAACATCGTTTAGCTTCTCTGTGGCAAAAATCTGGAGGTATTTTATAACAAACCAGTTTGACCCTAAACCAATCACTCAGTAATGCTTATTCTCAACAAATTAATAAGCCCAAAGCATGCACTAAACTCATTTCCATAAAATCTCTTGATGAACAGAAAAGTAGTAAAAATTGTTGATTAGCCCAAACAAGAAGTCATTTTAATCGAAAAAAAAGATTGGAAACAAGCAAACCTTCACATCAGATGAAGATGTGACAAACATTTAAGCAGACGCATCTTTGCACCACCAAATTCGCGGGCTAGCATTTTTGTGTAGAGTGCGCAGCACGCATGTACTACATAACGTACAACCTTAACGGTGGGTTGGCTGATCGAACAACAATACAATTAATTTATTGAAAAATTTGCGATACCTTGACAAATCGGCATTCATTATGCTAGATTCCAAGAAATACCCATTTCGGAGGACCACCCCCTTGATACTACTATCTTGAAAAAATACTTTAATAGGGCTGCAGGAACTAACAGGGCTGACTGAGGTTCCAAAATGCTTAGTGACGCTTCAAGCATGGAAAAGCCTACCAGGAAGCTGGAAACCGTTCGTACGGACGGCATATTAACCATCAGTCAAAGTAAGCTGATCATATGACCAACTGCAATTCTTTCTTGATGCCTACTAGATCTTTACGCGCAATTTGCCCCTCATAATTTCTTATTTGTGTAACGTTCTAAAAGTAGGAAATTATGATACACTACAATCTGCGTACACTGATCTATTCGATTACATTCGAATATTTGCACAGATGAAGCCATTGATCATTATGGAATTAATGACAAGACCTACGGAAATAACTTGTATTTACAAGTTTCTTTAACTGGTGAATTAACATCAAATTTATTAAGAAAATTAAAAATAACCCTATAACCCCTACAATCCACACACACCACTTCAAAGGGAGAGTGAAAGGACAAACCCTCGCAGCGCTGATGCTGCAAACCACCTAACCGAGGGTCATAAAGGCCTCGTTCAGACCCCAAAAGAATTATTTCTTTTTCACATACTTCCCTAGCGAACTTTCACGCAGTTGGCCATCCTACTACCGACTATTTTAAACATCACTGATATACCATTGGTGGTTCACGTAAGACGTTTTTACATGGATGATGCGTACATCTTACCCCCAAAGCATACCTCTGACCTGTCCGATTAACTTTGGAAAGTGCTGCAGACACCTACGCAGATAATCGATGGTAAAAAATTAGTTAGGCTTCAAAAGCAGAGCAAACTAAAATGTGCAGTCGTGTTGCATAATCTGTACAGCGTTACAAAGGTGATTCCTGTAGAGACGAAATGCATGGTCTACATCTTATGAAAAACAAACATATATTGATTTCCAGAGCAGTAATTTAAACATAATGCTGTAATATGATGGGGAAAGTAGTAGCGACATATTGCCTTCTCGAAACAACAAAAATCGGTAGCTACTAATACAATGCTAAGCGAAAGAGAACGACGTCAACTGTGATTGAACCTGACTTACCAACAATTTCAAAGCCTGTAGTGTTGAGTGAGAACCTACGTTAATCCAATTAGTACTAGATTAAATTTTAAATTAAATTGAATTTTACAATATCTTAGGTACATAGGGAAAATAGTGCAGCACACATCATTAACTCGAATAGTGCCAAAAGTTTTTGGAAGTGTGGAATCCCATATCAATCGAAAAGTAGTAGACATACAGTAAATTTAATCTAACGTTATTTACCCTCACTTTAATTAAACAGTCTACAAAAAACGCAACAACGCTATTAGCCAAAATGTAAGCTATGAAGCCTTTAAAAGCATAAGTAGAATTAAAAGTTAAACAGTACTGAGGGCAAGGCGGTAGGGTAAAAAAATAGCATGAGCGGTTCCCTAAAACACTTCAACAGGCAGTTCTCGTGAAAGTAGGAACTATATGGCATGAAATATAGTAAAAAACTGGAGATTAACATTACCTGTAGTCACGAAATAATAATTATATGCCAAAACCTTTAGACACAAACGTAGTCAACACCTACTAGTCGGCAAAGATTACTTCGTCATTTTGTGGTTTCGAGGGGAGACAGAGTGATCTTTGTCAGTAAATTCTGGATTTTGTCGATGGAGAACCCAGCAATTACAACTTTTAAGGGCACAAATGCAGATACTAATTGCACCTTAGCTGAATCTGTTTGCATAAAAGGCCGTTGATTGTACTAGAAAATTTCCTTTTTCCTAAATGGTGGTTTGTATTGCTCTGTAAATAAGAAGAATCGTATTATCCCTGGTCCAAAATAAATCTAACCCACTCCAAAGTGCTTTAAGCGGGGTTATGCCCTAATTGCTACCCATGCTAATTATGGAACTCTTTTTTACCATTGATAGTACAAGTATCATAGGCTACTGAAGCAAAAGTACCTCTGAACGAGCATGTCACTCAGGTCGGGGAATTAAAGTCCTAATCGCTATGTTTGTAAGCTAACTTGTTCTTACTCAGTGATGTGAATCAGCTCTATTTTGTGTTGCAGTTTTAGTGCCAACCAAAGAAGTGTATTAGGAGAATGGGAGATGCTAGCCATCACTGAATATCCTTTGGACTTTATGTAAGTGACAAATTCGGCATTTTAAGGTTGAAGTTAATCTTTTTAAAAACCATAAGTTAATGCAATTCGCATATGAATCCGAAATTAGGTTATTTTTCTGTCACATGGTACCCACAAGAGTCGAAGACTAAAGATTAATTAGCCAATTATCAAAGGTCGGAAATATTTACCACAACATTTTAATAGCATTTGTGATTGGTACTATAGGGAATCATTGCAATGAGAGCTTGACCACTAATACAGCTGACAGCACCTACCAGCGTGCCCTGAAATGCGCTACTTCACCCTCATAACTGGTAGTGCTGTTTCCAGGGTTCGAATCGTGTGATGCTTCTAAAAGACAGAGAAACAAAACAGCAACGTGTATGACTTCAATAGACTTGTAAGTTGAAGCGATCTCCTTATTCATTTACCTGCTTCTGGGAATAAATAGGCACATATGGTAAGGACGACCGCTCCCATAATGAAAAACGGTTGAAGAACACCGAAGAATGATGTAAGAGTAGTGAAAATGAGGAATCGAGTAAATAACAATAGTAACTTCTCTTGCAGGGGAGGGATCTTGATGTAATTGGTGCAGGTTACAAAAAAGTAAACAAAAGCAAGAACTGCGACTAAACGCGGAGAAAAAATACAGGAAACAAATGCGAAAAAAATGGACAGTATGTAATGAATGCGTGACAACAAAGACCCCAGCGACACAAAAAGACCAGACTCTTGCATAAATAGAAAGACTCCAGTCGAAACGAGTGCTATGGTGAATGGGACAACCTTTGACCATAGTGTATCAAGAAAGGTAGTCGCCGTTGATTGAAAGAATTTAACAGGAGTTAATGCCACAGTCAAGACGAAGAGACAACCCCTTTCCTTTTGCTGTTGCAAATATTTGCGCAAATATATTGTCAACATAAGTTTGCAAGGGAACAAACACGTTCCAACGATCAAAGCCCAGCAGATCGGACGGAGAAAAGCCTTCAGCACCAGACAAATAGCTATGCATAAAACCATGATAGACACGAGGCAAACAACGGCAACAGTATTATAAAAGGCATATCTTAGTGCTTTTCTGTCGGTATAAGGTAGTAAACTGGATAGACTGTCAAGAGGGAGTTGAAAACAGCCCACCCCCGTCATCTGTCCTCGACCCTGAGACATGGCACACGAATCCAGCGCCTAATTTTAATGGCAAAAGTAGAATGAAATAAAAAACTGCCTCAAAAAAATTTGTTAATATTTAAGCCAAAGATATTTTGTTTCACTTTTGCGAAGTAGTCATTAGCAAAAAAGGCGAATAATCCAGGCACTTGAGGTCTTAAAAACAAACTAACTTAATATACTAATTTAACTAGCAATAATTGAGTTGATTGTTTACTACAATTTTTGATTGAATTTGCAATAGTGATTGTATATTTATATATCACTTCAAGACCCCCTGGTAGAACGAATTGAATCACCAATCTTCGACAGAAAACGTATTGTCTCGGAGGCCATGCTGCCCAGCAAAGGGTCTTAAGTAGGGCCTTATATTTTCGAAACTGAGTCGACTGCATAGAATAATGGTCAAATGATTACATTTATATCACTGCAGATTCGGCTGTACAGGCAAAGACGCGAGCCGCTCTTACTGCGTACCGGCAGCTCCAAGATGCAGAAACTATTAGTAACGTCATGCTTTGATTCACATTTGGGTTTTTCTAAGTTTGTTTAAAGAAAGGGTCAAGCATCTGGAAAACGAGTGAGCAAAAATATTGATGGATGTTCGACGTAACTTTTAGTCTAAGGTCCCTAGCAAAGGCCAGCCCCGTGACGAATCGGAAATTACTGGCTTTCAAGTAGGAAACATACCACGAATATGCTTATGCCGTTAGATTTGTACCCCTTAATTTCCTGTAATGTCCAGACACTTTTCTAAAGGCGAAAGAAGGCATAATACTCGGGCAGAATACATATATTAGGCATGGAGAAGGCATTTAGGTTACCCCATGGCCCAAAGGCCAACCCACCCGATGTGGTACAAAGGACAAGTAAAAAGTGACTTTTCGCCAATACCGAGAGTTAAACAACCACGATAGTGATTTATCCCTCGGTAATGGTGAGGCGCCACTTTTGTACTTTATATTAACCCTCTTGTACCTCGCCGGATGGTTTGGCCTCTCGGGCCATGCCAGTAGCCCAGACACCTTCCCTATGCTGAATATATATATATATATATTCTGCCCAAGTATTTTGTCTTCTTTCCTCTCCAGGGCGTCGCCGGCCGCTACATAACAGCTACCCAATAAATCATGTCTGAGTCCACCTTTGCTAGGTAGAGGTGGAAGAAAAGATCGTCAATTTTTTGTAAAAATAGTGGAAACCTTTTGAGTAAGAGTATTCGCAAGATTATCTAAACACACCTAAGTTAGCATATCACTTCCTTTCGGACCATCTAATTAATGCAGAATTATTGTGTGGAAAATCTTAAAACTTAGTTTGTTCCTAGAAGACCAGTTTATCCTAAACCACTGAAGGATTTTGCACGGTAGTGATAGATATATTACAATGAACTTTATTAAATCAGATGTTTCATTTTGTGCATCTACGCCCAGAGTACCGGCAAACCGTTACGAGGATCGTGTGATAAAAAGCGTTTTTTGGATGTTAGTATAATTTGATTTGTTTACTTGACCATTCCTAGTGGGATTCAAGAAGAACCAAATCATTTTATTTCACTCTTCAGATTTTTAACGCCTACCTTAAACCTTGGGATTTTTGACTTTTATGAAGAATCCTTGACTTAATACCTTTAGCAATTTTTTACTATTTGTTTCCATATCGTATTTGTAGCCGTACTTTTTAGCAGGCATGCATTATTTTGCTCTAATAATTTTGCTTTGGTTAAATTAGTTGCTGCTAATATTCTTCTATTTCCAATTTATAAGCGCGCTATTTTTGCACTTGCTACACACAGTAGCGTCAATTCTGGCGTGAATATCACATTTGATGGAATGTACTTAAGTGGTGCTAGTTATCGGCGCAGTTAAATCAAAAGTGGGTTTCCGCCCGTGTTAGGGGGCGTAACGGCCTCTATTCTAACGTCTGGTTTTTGCAATGTTTGGTAATTAGTTTATAATTATGCAACAATTTCGCATAACGTGTGTTTCGCTTACCACTAAGATAGTTGTTTAGCGCTTCTACCGTAAGACACTTCATTCTTTTTATTATTTCACTTCTAGCTACTTTCTAGCACTCTTCTCGGACCGTGGCTTCTGTATTTATTTGATCGATTTCCTGAAAGTCGTTCTATTTCATACACATCGTTGTCTTTTCCAGCTGCTTGTCATTTGTTTTGGTGCTGTTTTATACGTAGAACTCATTGTTGTTTTGGTGATGCAATAACAGTAAAGTTGTGCTTCATAAAGGGCGTAAAGTTTTCAATAGTCTGGTGTTCTATCGCATCTTTTCCTAATTCCCTTTTTTTATAGCTGGTTCATTAAGAGTGCGGCAATTCTCAAATTCATAAAATTGCGATTGTGGTCGTTAGGTGCGACGTGTAATTTATCCTTATTGCCATTTTAATTTTTTTCCGAGAAGCGTTTGTTACTTTACTCATGGTTGGCCTAGTCCTTGGACGACTTTTGGTAGTCTTCATTGTAGAATGAATTTTTTCAATAAGGAGAAGGATCTTCGTCCAAAAGTTCGTAATCTTCAAACTCAGCTACGTCGTGAACAAAGGAAGTTGGATCGCGACATCGTATCTACTCAGCAGAATTCCAAGCAATGCGAGGCTGAAGTAAAGAAGTACGCCAAGTCAGGAAACATTGATGCGGCTAAGAAACTTGCGGAAGGGATTGTAGCGTCTCGCAAGTCTGTCAACAGGCTCTATCAGGCCAAGGCTCAAATAAACTCTGTCATAATGGAGTTGGAAAATCAAGTAGCAATGGCGAAGATGGCTAGTGCCCTCAACCAGAGTACTTCTGTGATGCAGGCGATGTCGAAGCTGGTCAAAGTAAGTCAATCATGATGATTTGTTCAATAAAAATTGCTGGCTTTTGTGTCTTCCATTGCATCTCACGCTTTACTCGCGTAACTCATTTTTAGATTTGTTAGAATCCTTATAACTTTCTTCTATGCACAACTTGGCTTTTGCACGTAACCGTGCTCGATTCATATCCCCATCACTACTAAGTCATCATTTTCATCTTCCCGTGCAGTTCCATGTACTTTTGCTAAATGATGGTAGGACTTTCCAATCATGCAAACGCTACGTAGCACGCTGTATCTTCCCGCAAATGCCATTGGAATCTGCAGTGGCGCCAGTATTCCTTATTTCTTGATTCTGAACTGCTTCCCCGCCATCAAGCGTATCGTATTATGATATCGCCTAACTTGCTGTTTATTTCTTATCTATGGTTGAGTATTGTGTCGTTTCTTGTTATCGTGATTCAAGTAAAAGCGTGTTTGATGTTTATGTGGGAATTTTTCTACATCCTCACCGTCACCTAAATTTGACATACCATTTTGCGAATCTGCCACTGGATTATCTAGTCTAGCATTGGAATTTTTGGCATTTTTTACCTCAATAGTCTACTTCGGCTCTTTTTATTTCATTAAAATTAATCGTATTTGTTAACTTTTTTAGTGTAAAATCACTATAATACTGTAGTCTTTTCGTGGCCCCTTATTAGTAGTCCTATTAGTTCATAGTCCATCCGAGCCTCGCTTATTTGCCCCAATTTGTCACTCAATTCCTTTAATGCATGAAGTAGTCTTTATGCATGCATTTTGAAGGCCATCCTAGTAAACATTCGCAACCAGTTCTTAATTTTAGCTTCCTGAGCTCCGTACAACGATGTGTAACCTGTCGAAGGAGATGATGAAGCTGGGTCTGATGAATGAGATGGTGGAAGAGTCGGTAGAATCAGCTCTGGATCAGCCCAAGGAGATGGAAGAGATGGCACAAGCCGAGGTAGACAAGATTCTCTTTGAACTGACTAATGGTGCAATGGGCAAGGCGCCAGATGCTGTGACGGACACCCTGCCTGTTGGCACTCAACGGCCCGTCGACGTAGCCGATGACAACCCGGATGACCTTGAGGAGATGCGCGCTCGTCTTCAAGCCATCCGCTGAGTTTGAATGTACGCTTACTCGCGCAACGATCTGTCTGTGATCTAGTCTTTCGTGATCCTTCCTCACTCACCCTTTCTCATCTCCTACTTGCGTAATACGTTATGCATGCATTGCTGTAAACGGTATTACTTGTGTACTCAATAACATTCTCTTGCACGCTTACCAAGAGAAGAAATCTCATCCATCTCGCTTTCTACTGATTCACGGGGTTATCTGCGATAGTGTTCTCACTGTTCAGTTACTATTGTAATTATACTGAATAACATTAATTGTAGTCCTTTTTCTCCCAGCAATGATGTTCTCAGTACGACGCGCAATTTTGCGTGGATTGGAGGCGTACCTCTGGAAATCGCTTTCTTGCTTTGGTAAGCTCTTACTAGGTGGGGTCTAGGTGCATAGCTGCATTGGTTGAAATAGGAAATTCTCCAAGACTTTTTTTTATTGCTTGTTGGTTCTAAGACAAACTCGAGCACACTTTCTCCAAGTGATATAAGTACTCATTTGAGCCTCGCAGACCTTCAGTCATCTAGTATCTACTGAATGACCCCGATTTAATGGGTATTCCCCGTATTTCAACCTTTAACATTGGTTGAATACCGGGATTCTGGTCACATCAAACTTATTTAAATTAGTTCTCTGTTCTCAACCTGTCTATTGTCAATGTTGCTTCAGTATTTGCGTTGTAGCGTTAACGTTCGCTGTCTCAATATCTACGGTGACTTAGTGAGACTATTCGCAAACGTAACTCGTAAGTAGTTTTCTATGTTGCCCATGAGCTAATGAAATCTACGTTTTGGTTTTGCCACCCCTCCCATAGGTGGCAAAGTCGTGCCGCCGTGTTCGCGTGGATTAGCCTTAATGGGAACGTAGTCCACGCTAAAGCTACTTACTTTTGACGCTCAAAATTATTTCTAACCGTTTCTGCATCTAATATCACGGAGATATTTTTTGTGGACACTTAATTATGGGGCTCCATTTGCTTCAGTCAGTTTAGGTCTCCAGTAAACTGTATTGTTTCATTAAGAAAGGTACTAAGTCGGTATCGTAACTGCTATCCGTAGTGCTCTAGCCTGTTATGCAAACACGGGACAGCTCACACGGAGGTGACTCATGTACACCCACATTTGCAGCTGATCTTGATCCTTTGGTCATGAGTGGGTTAACTGCGCTCTAAACTTATTATCTGACTCCTAATTTAATGACTTACCGCAGCTTTAAAAGCCTGGAAATTCAAAAACTAGATTTAACCGCACACCCAAATGTGACCTTAAAAATGTGCATTTTACCATATGAACAAGAGTTGGGGTAAGTCACGCCACCTGATACCTTGTGGGTGGTGGCGTTAATGCAACTAGAAGGTGACGAAAATGAGCTGATTTAGTCAGAAAGGATTAGCAATGGTGAAGTGTTGTGAAAAATCGTCTCGATTTTTTGTTGATGTTGAGGCGAGTATACCCCCTATTTCAGAAATATTGCAACTTGAGTAAAATCAAAATTAACTCGATAACTCAACCGACACATCAAAGCCACTATCAGCTTATACAGCGTGTTAGAAACCTACCGTTCTAATCCATGAGGTCACCGGTTTTGGATACACGCTTTATTCGGTATTAAAACTGGTTTCGCTTTGAGTACGGGGCACTAGTTACTTCCAAAATAATTTCAAAGGTTTGTCTGTTTTGCATGAATTTTGTTGCCCTGGCAACACGTAGGTGTAAAATAAGGGCGTTAGGCTCACAAAATGCACAAGGCCTTCCAACATGCAAGCTACTCTTAAGGACAGACAATTATCACTATACCACTTTAAATCAATGCGTTGTTTATTGTTTCATCTTACAGTAATAATAATCCTTCCAAATGTGGCACAACGTAGCTGAGAAATCCACTACAAAAAAGGCATTAACTCTTGGCATTCAGTGAAATAGCCAGTTACCTTCATTTCAATTTCAACTTTATTTTCCAACTCTTAATTTTGTACATGCAATGCCAAGAAAACGTGACTGTCATTTGGTGAAATATCAGCGAAACATCGAAAGGTGAGAATGAGGCGCTTTCTCTGCCATTCTGAAAAAATGACTGTTGCCACTAAATCACTAGTCCTGACTGTTTCTGCAGAAGAAGCCCTTCTTGTTTGCCTTTATTTTTCGTTGCGTCGAGCCGATAGATCTCAGTCATGCCTTCTTTTTGGCGTTCGGCAAGTGAGCACTTGTGTCTGTGGACCACACACATGCAAGTGAAGCGCAGTTTTCTGTGGGAAGCGTGTCACCTTACAAATGCACAGTATCGGTTCACTTTCAATAATCAGAAAATAATCCTGTGTCATGCTGTAATGCAAAAGCAGTTTCACATCCCAAGTATACCTGTCTGTCACTCAGCAATCTGTAATGCCTGACACGTTGCTATAACACACGTGAGAGAAGTGAAGAACAGCAATTTGGGAATTTTTGCTAACAATTGTTACGTCTTACACATCATTCCCCTCCCGGATGGTGTGGCCGTTTCATCAGCACTCACGTTAATCAGTACTTGAAGTTCTTGCCAAGTTGACTGCAAATTATGCCATTCAAAATTAGCCAGTACTTTTTCATTGCAAAGAATTGAAATCTCTCCCAAGTTCTCTATAAAGATTGTGTCTGGTTGACGTGTTTTGCCAAGATTTCTTTGGCAAGTGATATACAGGAACCTGCATAAGAAGCTTGCTCAGCTTTGGAGCCGAATTATGTCCATTTTACAAAAGGATAGGTCTAACTCCCATCTACTCTGTTTCAACTCATATTTTTTGATATGAGGTTCATAATGAGAGGAAGTTATAAATAAGGCATCCTACTGGAAAAGTGACGCATATCCATGCTGTGTAATGCGTATGATCAACCGCATGCATATTGCTAGCTCCCATGAGTTGCAACAGGTCATTGCACCATCCCACATTGAAAATCGTTCAGACCTTCCTCGACAGCTGACATTCGAAAGAAAGCCTAAATGTGCTAATTACCTCTGCTTTTCTTGCATTATAGTGTTTGGAAATGGGAGAAAAGTGGACTTGGACAACAAATTACCTGTAAATTATGTCGGCAGTCAAAAAGTTAATCGACTGAAGCGCATCATTTCCTAATAAACCTCGATAATCACTCTCATCACCTTCAATCGTAGCATTACCAAGGCGCTTGGCCTCAAGCCCCTGGCACACCATTTTAGGCTTACTTTACTCTTGTCTCAGTCCCTTTACTTGTTCTGCTTCATTGACACCAACAAAAAACCTCTAATTTATTACCTTTTCAAGAGTATGTCACTCACTGTCAAAATATCAGCATAAAGGTTTGCTTGTTGGTTATTGGTTGTTCACCCCGATCAATTGAACTTCAGTTGGGTTTAGTCGACTGAGTGCGTAGAGATTGCCACGCTTCTCTACATATGCAATCATGGAACACGTGAATATGAGGCATCTCTTTCATGGCGTGAATAAATACTTGTAGGTGTGTGTGTGTGTGTGACAAATTCAGTGTCTATACGAGAGTGGAGGCATCACAAAACCACGTGATTGCTCTCAAATCTTCGCAAAATGCCCTTTTTTCTCGAGCGTGCAAGCAGCTCTAGCTAAGGGATTGGGTATATTTCATATGTATGGACTGATACACGAAATGTAATTAGCTGCCTTTGCACTTGAAGATCATGTGTGGGGTTGTTGTGTAAATCCTTGTCGGGAGAATTAGGTTCTATTGCACGATGTGTACGAAATATGCTGTGCTAATTACATATACTAGATACAGCGTGGAATACAATTCGTGATACTTGTCTTAACCAAATTGTTTTATGTTAGCGTGCTACAATGAGAATGCACTGCCTTGCCATCTGTTCGTCCCGCCTCTTTTCTCATTTGTTCTACTTACTTTGACGAGCATGCGTGTTTTTCCCTAAAACGTATTTGCACAATTCGCGTTAGTTTAATGAGATCCCTTCACTGTTTTTGGTCGTTATGGTATTGTCTATATGTAAATTAATTGTGATGAATGCAAGCTTTTTAAATCATTTATGATAATGATGCACATTTCGACTAATCGCATTAAAAATAAGTACCAGAGACCATCGAATATCCGCAATGTTTGTTACAACAACGTCGAGGCGCTTTTGAACTACAACTAACCTGACTGGATGAAATATGCGAATAGTCTAGTCCGTGCATTGGTTGTGGAACAAAATTATACACTTATTTGAATGAATGCAGCATTTTATTCCCCCGTTGATAAAATGTTGGGATAAAACCCAAACTCAACAGATGCCTTCCCCTTCCCTGACATAAAATTAGTAACTGGGGATGCTTCATCCATTTCCCATCAAATTAGGCATTTCTAACAAATTAAGGCAACAATCCCCCTTGATTTATTAAACGGAAGTCCTAGGGCCCAGCTGCTGAAGAGATGGTTAGTTATTTTCACCTCAATGGTTAATCCTGGTTTATGCTAACTTTCTCGGTAAGGTATGCATCAGGCTTCAGTTATAGTTACGGCTCATAAACGCCGAAGGTCCACCGTGGAAAATGATGCACAAGCAGTTATAAGCCTAGTCTGGTGATTGCTATAATACAAGCATCTCCGGATGGGTTTGTGCATACCTTCTCTGGATCACACAAGCAGTTTCATTTTTATTAGTTGAGCTTCTTTATTCGTGACCGGTCAGATGATCATTTTAAATTCATAAATGGGAGCTCAATGTACGGTGGTGGAGCATCGCTTCATTGCGCTAAATTTGAGATTTCAACTAATTACATTGGGGCAACTCAACAACTTTTTCATAAAAATTCTCATCTTACGTATTTGTAAAATTGTCCAAATGTCGAAAATTTTTGGCTATTTAAGTTGCATTAATGTGTTGCGGTAGTACCTCCAGTTAGGCGCCGCATTGCGCCCACCTTAGCTCGCCACCCTTTGATGCAGTGAATTGAATGAAAGTGGACTTAGTTTTTTCTTTGCATTGACTGAAGAGCATCATTGTGAGCAGATCTACGGGTTTCCAATGGGTTAGTGAAAAATTCTGCTATGTGAAATTTATTGCTGTTTTTACAGTGGTATATTATTGTGTTTGGTTGAGGTGCTTGTACTTAAATTAATTTAGTAAAGTTAGTTGCCACTCCCATGCTAAGGCATTTTTCGTCAGTCAAAGTCGGATACTAGGCTATGTTAGAAATGTGGCGCACTACCGGAGTTTCAGTAAAATACTTTTAATTTTCTGAGCTACTGCAAATAGTCATAATAGGCTTACTTTTCCTGCTAGTTCTTCTATGCAACGATTTGACTCAAGTTTATGTATTTCCAAAGCAATATCTTCAGCCTCATTCGGAGCGCTTGTTTCACGAATTGGGGCCACCAGTGAAAATAAGCCATCTTAAACCTGTTTGAGATGTGTGAAGTAGAATCCCCTTAGTACCAAATTCCCACGGAACAATAGTTTCGCACGTGTTTTATTCACATTTTAAAATAGTGGGCATGGTTAAATTTAATGCTGTATTTACTTTTACCAGCATAACGCAGTCATCTTCGTTGACTAGGTCAGAAAGTGCTAAAAATCGTGCCGGAGTGGATATCATCGGCTCCTAAAGAGGATACGTACCCCAATGTGCCTAACCAGCAATATCCGTATCCCTTTAGTAGTCGCTGCGCAGTTAAGCATGTCGTCGACCAACTCGTCGACTCGTTCTAAGGACCTGAAGGTCACAATGGAAGAGTTAAACGCTGAGCCTATCGCATAAGAGTGCTGCATCTCTCTAATTCGTGCTACATATGATGCTGTTTACACATTTGTGTATCAATTCAAATATCTGTAAACTCAAACCAGCATTTGATGATGCATAACCAATTAATAAAGCACTTCAGAATTTTCCTCAACTAGATATTTGAAGTCTTATGTATAAACATCCTAGATACACGTATATACAAAAGGATCCGTGATTTAAATTGCAAATTCGATACCTGAGCAATGAATTAGTGACTTGCAGATATTTACTATCAGATTTATATCGCAACTGCCACTGTGGCAGCAAGGCAGGCTGGCTTTTGTTACTTACAAAACAGGGTTTGCCCAACTTCCGACTTCATTCCCCTTCCCCAAACTCGACTTCATTGCCTCTAGGGTTGTTTTAACCAACAACACCGTGACCTGTAGTCGTCGTTATTTGCGCTTTTTGGACATGCAATTTTGGTTTTCAGGCACAGTTTAGTGTAGCATTACCGCAGTATTTGGCAAGTGAGCGTGCCAGGCACAACCAGTGTCCTTTACTTCTGGTCGACAGTCATTTCATCAGACATAAATCAAATTTTAAGTGTAGATCAAAGCTGATACGGGTAGCGTTTGTTTACCGGTGCTGCTTACGTATTTACCGTGAAAGTGATAGTCTAAGGGTCTTAGTACTTAGCCGTGGCAAAATATCATTAATGAGAAATTAATCTTGGATACACGCTGATGGGCAATTATTTAGCAAATCTAACAAACAAAGAATGTGATCTACGCAAGTGTATTGGTCCACTGTTACTATCTTGTAGTAAAAAAGCGAGTTTGTCTTACATACGGATTGGAGATTACTTGTACATCCTCTCAAACCAATTGGTGTCTCACTTTAAAATGAGTGACTATAAACCGGTGTTAGCTCCAAAAAAATAAGTGGCGTCCCAAGTAATGGGAAGTAGTGTATGTGATATAATTACAATGTAGCAACGCTTTAATGGAAACTTGACTTCACTTTATTTTATGCGTGGTCCATGTAAGAAGCGGACTGATGTTCCTGTAGAGGTCGAAATGAGCAGGCTACCAGGTATTTACGGTTGATTCCATGCCATTATTTTTATGCAAAACGGTAAAAGCGCTAAAGGTGAATTCACAACCACCTCAAACGCAACTCTGACAAACAAACTCAACTTGGCCTCATGTCAATTACTGGGGTCTTAAGACAGGAGCCGCTACCATTTCTACTTCGCACAGGATCTGCTCTTACTGATAATTCATCAAGGCTTATTTATCAGCATTTGGAAACTTCCTATCTACATTTATGTCTTAGAATGCATTTATCTCGCATGCTTTGCTTGCTTTACAACTCAGAGGGATAATCCACGACTTATTAGATGACTGTGCTGGAGGAGAGAAGGTCTCAATTTGGCTAAATATTGGTGCGGTGGGCTGGTTCTGGGTAATTCTACGTAGACAATTGCAGCCACCGGAACTGTACATTCGCCTACTTAACTTGCTCTTCATAGATTTGTCAACTGGATCTGTCACCAACCCACACCCTTTACCAAGACCCCCATCACGTGATCACTGTCTAAAAGTCAGGTCAGTTAACGTGCGTGACTCAGGCTCGCATGTGGCCCGTGGTATGGGGTGTTCACATACAGGGGAAAGAGCTTCGCACTAGTGCAAATCCCGCTTAATCCAGTGCTCGACTTAAAAACTAGATTTTCCTCATTCAGTCTCAGGTAGTGGGAATACCCTACCCCATACCACTCCCCTCAGGCACAATCTCACGTCCATGTGCTGTCGCGCTTGCTGTTACCGAGGCCCTCCCCGCATCACACCAAAACACATTGCACCAGACCACATCACATGGTACCGCGTCGTGCCCAATCTACAGGAGCTAGGTGGCCTTAACAACACCGCCACTGGACCGCGCTTGCTCTCATCGCTGCAAAGCGTTAGCAACTCTGCTACCCAGGCAGCTGAGTTCGGCCTTCGTCTGCACCTGGACCTTCATCTCCAACTTCGAGCACACACAGACATCCAGCCTAAACAGAATCGCAGTGTTGACGCTTCGCCGTGTGGAGTGAAAGACTGTAGTACCTTTGCGATTGAGATTGAATCCAGGTCGAGAACCCGCAATTCACTAGCGCTCCATTGCATTAGCCACTTGACCGTGGCGTCACGCCTCATTTGTTAATGCTTTCGCAGGCAAAACTTGTGATTCATTCCTCCTGTGCATCTGTTTCCATTTGATCCAAACCTCTCCCCATTCTTCTGAGGCGGTGTAGGACCTTTGAAATGCCTGCATAAAGTACCCGATATGGATGATTAGTGTAATCAATTAGGTCAATGACATTGCCTTGATGGCTTTTTACTCACCATCATGGAGTTCGGTGAATTAATACATGCACTTAAAGACAGGTGGTTCGTGGCTTTTGGCAACTAGTTCATTTAAAAAATAGTATTAAGTATTTTTTTCCTCTGTGTATTCACATGCAAGGGCACAATTCGACTCGGACTGTGCACTGTCTTTGGATAGCAGACGCCACAAATCCTATTTATCGGATTTCTAGCTTGCTTCATTTATTCTCTTTTTGGAATTTAAATTCCGGGACATCCCCTTAATTGACAGGTTATATCGATTGGGAACTCTCCGCCCAACAGCATGTATTGCTTATGCGTTGGAATTCCATCGGTCCGCTCACAGATGGCCGACGTCTCGAGAACGCTACGTCCCATCCCGATGCTTTACCAAACATTTTCCAATTCAACCGTATTCGACAACGAACACTTTTAGGACTAAGTCTGAACTCTCAGAACAAACGCCCCGTCCGGCTACTGCGACGTTGTTGCGGAAATAACACCGACATACCCGATAGCATGTGACCCAAGGTGCATTAGAATGTACCAACCGTTGGACCTGTCCAACTCTAGGTCGCACCAGCGACTATACCAGATGCCCGCCAAACAGGGGCCGTCGACTACTGGCAAGGGCATGCCTACTGCAAATGCCTAGACTCCTTCGGGAACTACCCCCGACACCGCATCATACCGTAACTCACGCCCACAATCCAGGATCATGACCAGAGACACCGCGCAAGCAACTACACCACCATCCGTACAGTACCCAAACCTACTACTTAAAACGCCATCCAGAACCAGCCATGCCCACCACACCCCACCTCGGCAGATAACAAGACAATCGAAATGATGAATCCCTTTTATGTCGAATAGAATAACAATATGAAAGATTGGAATTATGTTTACTTCGATTCCGAACAGCACTTCTTACAGCAACTGCAAGGGCACAGGACGCAGGCACAGTTGCCAGGCTCGCAGGAGCAGCCCTTTTTGGTCTTGCAACCGTCACAGCACTTGCAGTCAGCAGGATCGCAGCACCCACCCTCGCAGCACGACCCACCAGCCATCCCTTTTTCCAACGTCGACAAGCACAGCGGATGCTGGATACTTCAGTATTTATATGCTCAATGAAGGCTTTCCCATTGCAATGGTGTTTCACATAGTAAATGCGCCTGCGCCGGCTCTAGGCTTTCACATATGCCGTGCGCATTACCTACACCCCATTGGTCACAACGATTTTAGCTGGTTTACTTCTAATTTTCATTGGTTAGGAAGGTGTGCTACTGCTTCGTCTCGCGTCGGTCAAACACATATACGAACAACAACCGAAGTGCTTTATGTCCACGATTTACTGCTTTTAAGTCGCGCCTTTTGACTTCATCAAATTTTTTATCCATAGCTGGTTTTAATTTTAGAGACATTCTCTATGTTCCTGGAGGTTTTATTTTTCCGGCAAATTTAACCTATTGCTGTGGTTTTCATATGCGGATCCTAGGTGTCGTGTTCGATGGGTTTTTCCTTTTTTAATATGAGTCCTGGGTTAGAAACCAATGTGGTTTCAATCCCGCTATTAAGACTAAGGCTTTAAATCGTAGTTTTCATAGGCAGTGTGTGATCCATTTTGATGGTCAGATTGCATCTTAGAATGGCTCCTTTTTCCATTCGATTGCCTCTTTTACAGTTAGTTTATTTCACCAACAGAGATGATAACTGGAAAAAATAAATTGCGAAGGAACAAATTTGCAGGACTAACTAGAGGGAAGTGGTGAAAGTGCATGATTTACAGCTCCAAATACAAGATTTTTCAATTCATTACTTTGAATCTGAATACAACCCGTTCCTTACAAATGTGCTTCAGCAAATTGTAAAAATGTGGACAAATTTGATTTAGGGTTGAGGAATTTGCCAATAGGATTTCCAGAACAAACGTTGCAATTAATTAGGCGTTTCAAAGGCTCATGCACAATTTTGGATTGCGAACCAAAAGGGTCAGCGTTCGGAGGAATAGTTTCACATAGTTTCAGTTTCTAGATGTGAAACAACTGCGGCAGTATTTGCCTCGGTAACGTGCTTTGATAGAGAACACTACGTGACTGTGATGTGGCGTATTTGGTGCATTAGTGGACATCCACAACCTAAAAGTTTATCATCACGAGTTTACTTGCTCCTCGAAAGTGCCTTATTCCGTCCACTTGTCATGAATACCATTTAGCTAGTTTAGCAATATTTCAACCACCGTGGCTGCTTAGCTTTAAAATGTTGTGTTCAAATGCTTTGGTAAAGAAGGAATATATATTTCTAGCGGCCGACCAAAAAACCTTGTACATAGGGTTGTACATAGTGTTATATGGCTGCCAAGTGCACACGGGAGCCTCAATCAGATCACAGTGAAAAGCATAGAACTAAAATTTGTTTACCGATTTTTCAGTTTACTGGAGCGCACTAAAGTACAAGAGTAGAACAGGTCAAGATTTTACCAACCAAAAAATCTAACGCAGAGGTAAAACCAAGGAAAGTTAATTAAAACAAGTGTGAAACACATGGAAGGGGAAAAAGGATAAAGAATGAAAAATAGTATTGAAAATAAGAAAAAAAACAGGGAAACCTAAGAAGACGAAGGGAAAGGGCAATAGGTAAAAGGAAAAATAGAGTAAAAAAAAGAGGAAAACTAAGGTAAACGCGAAAAAAGGAGGAAGGCAATAGGTTGGAGAAAAAAATTAATAAAATAAGGGAAAATATAGGATAAAAGGGAAAAGAGGAAATTTGGCTGCTGCAGAAAGCACCACGTTAACGTCGAAAGCGGAATTGAAAATACTGAATGACCCCGATTTAATGGGTATTCCCCGTATTTCAACCTTTAACATTGGTTGAATACCGGGATTCTGGTCACATCAAACTTATTTAAATTAGTTCTCTGTTCTCAACCTGTCTATTGTCAATGTTGCTTCAGTATTTGCGTTGTAGCGTTAACGTTCGCTGTCTCAATATCTACGGTGACTTAGTGAGACTATTCGCAAACGTAACTCGTAAGTAGTTTTCTATGTTGCCCATGAGCTAATGAAATCTACGTTTTGGTTTTGCCACCCCTCCCATAGGTGGCAAAGTCGTGCCGCCGTGTTCGCGTGGATTAGCCTTAATGGGAACGTAGTCCACGCTAAAGCTACTTACTTTTGACGCTCAAAATTATTTCTAACCGTTTCTGCATCTAATATCACGGAGATATTTTTTGTGGACACTTAATTATGGGGCTCCATTTGCTTCAGTCAGTTTAGGTCTCCAGTAAACTGTATTGTTTCATTAAGAAAGGTACTAAGTCGGTATCGTAACTGCTATCCGTAGTGCTCTAGCCTGTTATGCAAACACGGGACAGCTCACACGGAGGTGACTCATGTACACCCACATTTGCAGCTGATCTTGATCCTTTGGTCATGAGTGGGTTAACTGCGCTCTAAACTTATTATCTGACTCCTAATTTAATGACTTACCGCAGCTTTAAAAGCCTGGAAATTCAAAAACTAGATTTAACCGCACACCCAAATGTGACCTTAAAAATGTGCATTTTACCATATGAACAAGAGTTGGGGTAAGTCACGCCACCTGATACCTTGTGGGTGGTGGCGTTAATGCAACTAGAAGGTGACGAAAATGAGCTGATTTAGTCAGAAAGGATTAGCAATGGTGAAGTGTTGTGAAAAATCGTCTCGATTTTTTGTTGATGTTGAGGCGAGTATACCCCCTATTTCAGAAATATTGCAACTTGAGTAAAATCAAAATTAACTCGATAACTCAACCGACACATCAAAGCCACTATCAGCTTATACAGCGTGTTAGAAACCTACCGTTCTAATCCATGAGGTCACCGGTTTTGGATACACGCTTTATTCGGTATTAAAACTGGTTTCGCTTTGAGTACGGGGCACTAGTTACTTCCAAAATAATTTCAAAGGTTTGTCTGTTTTGCATGAATTTTGTTGCCCTGGCAACACGTAGGTGTAAAATAAGGGCGTTAGGCTCACAAAATGCACAAGGCCTTCCAACATGCAAGCTACTCTTAAGGACAGACAATTATCACTATACCACTTTAAATCAATGCGTTGTTTATTGTTTCATCTTACAGTAATAATAATCCTTCCAAATGTGGCACAACGTAGCTGAGAAATCCACTACAAAAAAGGCATTAACTCTTGGCATTCAGTGAAATAGCCAGTTACCTTCATTTCAATTTCAACTTTATTTTCCAACTCTTAATTTTGTACATGCAATGCCAAGAAAACGTGACTGTCATTTGGTGAAATATCAGCGAAACATCGAAAGGTGAGAATGAGGCGCTTTCTCTGCCATTCTGAAAAAATGACTGTTGCCACTAAATCACTAGTCCTGACTGTTTCTGCAGAAGAAGCCCTTCTTGTTTGCCTTTATTTTTCGTTGCGTCGAGCCGATAGATCTCAGTCATGCCTTCTTTTTGGCGTTCGGCAAGTGAGCACTTGTGTCTGTGGACCACACACATGCAAGTGAAGCGCAGTTTTCTGTGGGAAGCGTGTCACCTTACAAATGCACAGTATCGGTTCACTTTCAATAATCAGAAAATAATCCTGTGTCATGCTGTAATGCAAAAGCAGTTTCACATCCCAAGTATACCTGTCTGTCACTCAGCAATCTGTAATGCCTGACACGTTGCTATAACACACGTGAGAGAAGTGAAGAACAGCAATTTGGGAATTTTTGCTAACAATTGTTACGTCTTACACATCATTCCCCTCCCGGATGGTGTGGCCGTTTCATCAGCACTCACGTTAATCAGTACTTGAAGTTCTTGCCAAGTTGACTGCAAATTATGCCATTCAAAATTAGCCAGTACTTTTTCATTGCAAAGAATTGAAATCTCTCCCAAGTTCTCTATAAAGATTGTGTCTGGTTGACGTGTTTTGCCAAGATTTCTTTGGCAAGTGATATACAGGAACCTGCATAAGAAGCTTGCTCAGCTTTGGAGCCGAATTATGTCCATTTTACAAAAGGATAGGTCTAACTCCCATCTACTCTGTTTCAACTCATATTTTTTGATATGAGGTTCATAATGAGAGGAAGTTATAAATAAGGCATCCTACTGGAAAAGTGACGCATATCCATGCTGTGTAATGCGTATGATCAACCGCATGCATATTGCTAGCTCCCATGAGTTGCAACAGGTCATTGCACCATCCCACATTGAAAATCGTTCAGACCTTCCTCGACAGCTGACATTCGAAAGAAAGCCTAAATGTGCTAATTACCTCTGCTTTTCTTGCATTATAGTGTTTGGAAATGGGAGAAAAGTGGACTTGGACAACAAATTACCTGTAAATTATGTCGGCAGTCAAAAAGTTAATCGACTGAAGCGCATCATTTCCTAATAAACCTCGATAATCACTCTCATCACCTTCAATCGTAGCATTACCAAGGCGCTTGGCCTCAAGCCCCTGGCACACCATTTTAGGCTTACTTTACTCTTGTCTCAGTCCCTTTACTTGTTCTGCTTCATTGACACCAACAAAAAACCTCTAATTTATTACCTTTTCAAGAGTATGTCACTCACTGTCAAAATATCAGCATAAAGGTTTGCTTGTTGGTTATTGGTTGTTCACCCCGATCAATTGAACTTCAGTTGGGTTTAGTCGA